CAAGGACCAGGGCTCTGGGGGGCTGAGGACACCGGGATTGGGGCTCGGAAGGGCTGGGGGACTCCAGCTGGGGGGCAGGCTGGGGGACACCATGCCCTGAGACCCCCGGGGGCTGGCAGTGAGACACGGGCAGGGTCAGGGGGTGGCAGGAGAGCGGTGGGTGCTGGCGGGTGGGTGCCCCCAGGGTGTCACCCCGCTGCGGTGCCAGAGCCGGGTGTGCCTCGGCCATCCCTGTCGGTGCTGCCGGTGGCAGGTCGGGAACCGGGAAGTTCCCTGTCCCGGGGTGCCCCCAGGCTGCCAGGGCGCTGGCAGGGCGGGCAGAGCGCCGGGTGCTGAGCACCGCGGGCAGGATTGAGCCCCACCCGCGTGTCCCACACCCGCGTGGACAGCCCGGGACGGACGGAGGCGGGCGCGGATCCCGGTGAGGGGCCCGGCAAAGCCAAACACCGGCGGTGGTGGGGGGACGGTGCCAGAGGCCTGGCCCGGGGGTCTCCTGCCCGTTTCTTGGTGCCAGGCACCGGCGCCGTGTTCAGAGCCACTGAGGGGGTGGCCGAGCCCTCCCCAGGGATGGAGCCGAGGATGCTGCGCCGGCTTCGCGGCTCCCGCCGCGCTCTCGGCTTCCCGGGGAGAGACGAGAAAGGGGGGCAGAAAAGAATAAAAGAGTGAAAAGAAAAAAAAAAAAAAAACAAAACCAAACCGAAAAACCAAAAAGAGGAGCAAATTCCAAAATAAAGGCTGCAGACTGTCTGCCTAATAAAAATCGCACCCAGCAAAGGGCCCATATTGGACGGGATCACAGTTTGCCGAGGTGCTAATTTATTCTGGCAGGCTGGGGGGGAGCGGGAAGAAGCATCACGTTGCCTGTGAGATGTGACGGCAGCGAGGTTTGCAGAATTCCTTTGTTGTGGGCAGAGAGGAGGGGACGCGGAGCCGGCCCCGCCGCCGGGCTCCTGCCGCGGCCGCGCAGCCCCGGGGGGGCCCTCGGCGGACACCCCCTCCCCGCCCGGGGCGGCGGGGGCACCACCGGGAGGGAGGTGGGTGCCGCGGGGGGCTGGTGGTCCCGGCGGGGTTGGGGGCGGGGGGTGCAGGGTCAGCCCCGCGGGGCGTCTGCGGTGGGGGGGACACGCCGGGTGGGGGGGGCACCGAAGTACTGTGTGTGCGCCGGTGGCACCGGGGACTGGAGTGACCCGTGGGGACAGCGGAGGTCACGGGGGCTCCGTCCTGGCTGGGGGCAAGTTGGGGGCACCCCCAGAGCGGGGGCATCCCCGGGGTGGGGTGCACCCATGTCCCGCTGCATCCAGGCTGCCTGGGTGGGTGGGCAGTGCATCGTCTCCCCTCCCACCCGTCCCAATCTCGTGTCCCCACCACTGTCCCAAATGCCCCCTCTGCTCCGTGGAGACCCCGGGCTCCTCAGCCGCCCCCGGCCCAGCCCATGGCTCGGGGCAGGTTGGGGACAGAGGTGACCCCGAAACTGTCCGGGTGGTCCCGGCGCCCACCGGCCTGTGTGGAATTAAGCTATGTTTCAGCTCAAGCTAATCATCAGTCCCGGCTTTGCATATTCATGAGAAATATGAATTATTCATGAGGTGACAGCTAGTGACAGATGTGAAAATGTTCACCCGTGTGTGTGTGTGTGGAGGGGGGGGGCGGTTTGCACCGGCGTTATTTTAAATTTCTCTCGCCTGCCGTTCCCCCGGTTGGGCTGGGACGCTGAGGGACGGGGACACGCTCCTTGTCCCCGAGGGGGCCCGGCCACGTGGCATCGGGGACGTCACCGTGGCATCGCCCTGACTGCGGAGAGAGAGAGACCCCCGCCGCGAAATTCAGCCCCTCGTGTGCTGGCAGTGGCACTGCCGCCCTCCCCGCCTGACCACCCCCGTGCCACCCTCCTCACCTTGTCACCTTGTCGCCTCGCTGTCACTGCCGCGGTGATGCCCTCACGGCCAAGCCCGGGGGTCCTTCCATGGGGATTCCCAGCTGGATCCCGCCCCAACGGGATGGGGCCGATGCTGCTCCTGGCTCTGGCACAGGGGCTGGTGGTGCTGAGCCGCTGCTGCCCGTGCTGGGCATCCCGGATCCAGCCGGGGCTGATCCCGGTGGCACCGCGGGGTCGGGATGCGGCCGTGCCACCCCCGGGCTGCCTCCCCGGCGCTGCGGGAGCTGGACTGTGGGTTAGTGGATCCAGGGGAGGTGGGACGGAGACGATCTCAATAATTAACGAGGCGCCGGGGCTGGGAGGGGCTGAGGACAATGACGGGGGTCCCCGTGCGGGGGGGACACCGCGTGTGGTGGCTCCGGCACCGGCGGGGAGTGGAGCCCATCGTGTCACTCGTCCTGACCTTGGGATAAACTTTTTGCTGGCTCAGCACATCGCCGGGCTCGGCAGAGGCGGCGGCCGGGGGGGGTTCAGCGAGGGGCTGGGGTGGGGACAGAACGCGGCGGGGACACGGGGAAGATGCTCCCTGCACGTTCCAGGGGCGGGGGTGCCAGCCGGGTGTCCCCGAGGCGGTGGCAGGGGCTGTGTGCCCCGTCCCTGGCGTGGGGGGCGCCCGGGACCCCCCCCACTCGTGGTCAGGTCACCCCGAGGGGGCAGCGGGTGCCGCGGGCAGGGCCGGCCCTTCCCGCCGCGGCTCCTTCCCTGCTGCGAAAGCAAATCCCGCAGAACTGCTGATGTCAGGGAAGGCGCCGGTGCAGCTGGAGCCGCACAGCCCTGGGACCCCCCCGGCCCCGAGCCCCCCAGCCCCGACCCCCCGGTAGCACCCACTCCCCACGCCCAGCCAGCCCGGGGTGTCCCCGCTGGGCTCAGGGACCGTCCCTTCCCTCCATCCCGGCTCCGCAGCCGCCCGGGGGGTGATTGGAAACCCAAAGAACAACTCCGGTGTTTAACATTTAAATAAACGCCGGGTGTTTGCTCAGCGAGGACCCGGCTCTGAGTAAACAGCCGAGAGCCCGGAGGAGGATTTGTACTCCCCGTGCGAACGCGGCTCTGCGGGGTCTCTCCCCGCTCCATCCCACCATCCCCGCATGGCACCGGGCACAGGGATGGGGCTGGTGGCCCCCGGGGGCTCCCTGGGAACGGGGGATGCTCCGCTGGGAGCTCCACGGGCCAGGGAGGAGGAAGATGGAGAAGAGGAAGGTCTCGGGGATGCTGTGGGGAGGCGGCAGGGAGTGAGATCCAACCGCTGCTGCCCCACGTGGAAAACTGCCTTGTCCTGCCTTTCGGTGGGAAAAATTGCTCGGAAGCTGCAGAGGGGGAGCATCAAGGGACGAGGAAAAGAAAACCCGTGAAAAGGCCGAAAAGTCTTTCAAACAAGTGAAAAGACCTAAAAGGGTGGTTTGAAGCCCTGGGACACGCGCGAGCACAGCCCGGGGCTCCCTTTATCCCTGGAGCTGAGTGTCCTGGGTGTTCCCTTCCCGCACCTTCCGTCACCCACCGTCCCCAGCAGGTCCCGGGCGGTGTCTGGGCGATGGTTTGCACTGGGAGGGCTCCTGGACATCCCGAAAGTCAGGATCAGCATTTCAATGGGAGGAGCTGGAATCTCCCGGGCCCGGCCCTGCCAAGCAACTCTTCTTTTTTTTTTTTTTTTTTTCCCCTCTGTAGCGGGGAAAAAACTGGGAAAACTTTGGCGCTGCCGAGGATGAGAGATGGAGGGATTTCCCTCCCGGAGCATCTCCGAGCGGGGATGAAGGAGCTGCTGTGGGTGCTCTGGAGCGGCCTCGGGGATGCTCTGGGAATGTTCAGCTCCCGGGAGATGCGGCCGGGCAAAGGCACATCCCACTCCCGGCTCCGAGCCCCGGGAATTCCCCTCCACGGCCGGGGTCGGGTCACCTCCTCCTCTTCTCCCAGCAGTTGGCTTCGGGGGCAGAACGCCCCGCGGAGCTGCCGGGGGAGGGAAGGGGCTGCCAACGCTTTCTTCTTTAGAGGAAATAAGATAAAACCCGGTTTTGCGTCCCCAAAAAGGCCCTTTGCCAGCGCCGAACACGGGGAGGGGGGGGGTGTCTCCTTTTTTTCTCGTCGTTTTGCTCTTTCTTTCTATTTTTGTCCCATAAAAGCACAGAAGGGACAGAATGAGAAATCAAGGGCTGGGAAATGGAGCATCAGGGATGGGGGAGCCGGTGGGATGAGGCAGAGACTCGGTTCTGGGCAGCTGGGAGAGGGATGGGGGGCTCCTGGTGTCCCCCCAAAGGCCAAGTGCTCCCCAAATTGCTGTCTGAGACCAGACAGGGGTCGGTGTTGGAGCTGAGGGGGACCAGCAAACCCCACAGTGGATCTGCCGGTGCAGGGGGGACCCAGGGTGTGGTTCAAGCTCGTGGCTGAGTGGTGCCAAGCTCCAGCATGGCCCTGTTTGGGATTTGGGGTTTGGGGGTGCTGGTTGTGCCCCTGCTGGCTCTGCCCGGCTGGTTTGGTGCCCAAACAAAGCCCAAGAGTGGCTGTGATGGGGAGGGAATCAGGAGATGGTGGTGGCAAGATCTGGGGGGTGGTGGTGGGGAGATGTGGGTGATGGTGGTGGGGAGATCTGGGGGGTGGTGGTGGCAGGATCTGGGTGATGGTGATGGTGGGAGCTGGGCAATGGTCGTGTCCATGCCCAGTGATGGTGGTGGTGGGAGTTGTGGTGATGGTGGTGGTGGGCACCTGGTGACAGTTGCACCCAGCACAGGGCTGGGGGGCTGCAGGACCCCCAGGCTTGCCCACCACGGGCACACGTGTCCCACCTCCAGCCACACACCAGGAGCCCACAGGGATGTCGCCGTGGGTGGCACTGATGGTAGGGACACACAGGGACCCCCAGCTGGTGATGGGGGCACCTCATCCCTCATCCCGACCTCATTCCAAGAGTGAAATCGAACTCTCTCCGGGGCTTATGGCACCCTGCTGAGAGGGACCCTGCTGAGAGGGGCTAATCCTGCCCCCTCCCGCGGCTCCCGGAGTGTCCCCGCGGCGATTTATGGCCCGGGGCGGCCTCCCACCCCCCCACCCACCCCCCGCTGTCGTTGCAGGTCAAGGATGGTCCATGGGATGGGGGATGCCGGCTGCTGGGTCCTGCTCGGGCTCTCCCTGCTCCCCATCGCCGTGCTGGGTAAGTGCTGCCGGGGCTGAGGGATCGCTGAGAGCAAACAGCAGGAAATAATGAACTCAGGGCCAGAGCAAACCGTGAGGGCGCATAATGACCCGGGGAGGGCCCGGCCTGCGGGATTAGGGAGGGAGAAGCCCCCCGGGCGCCTGTATGGATCCCTCCCCCCCCCTGCCCCGTGCTGGGATCCCCACAGGCGAGACCTTAAATCCTTAATCCCGCTGGCAGCCCCCCCCCGGGGATTTGCCGTGGCTCCAGCCACGACAGCCCATGTCCCCCCCCTGCCCCTGCAGTGTCCTCCTGCATGGAGGGGGTGATTTGGGATCCCCCACCCCAGAACGCTGCCCGTGTGTGTCCCCCCCGTGGGCTGAGGGTGGGGAGCTGGGGGGAGGAAGGTGCTGGAGGGGGGGGATTAGTGACCTTCCCAGTTCCCAGCTGGCTGAGCTCTGCAGGGGACATCCCCTGACCCTGCTGTGGGCAGGGGGAGCCGGGCCACGGGGGGCTCGAGACGTGGGGGATTTGTGGCGGCGGAGCTGGGAGGCTGCACAGGCTGGGGCAGGATTAGCGCGGGAGGAGGAGGATGAGGAGGAGGTCATGGTCCTGCCATGTCTTATCCCAGCGGGGAGGAGGCGGGGGGGGCTTTTCTACTCGTGCCACAGGGGTTGGGCAGCCCTGGGTCGTTGGTGAGGGATCCACCTCTGCAGGCGGGGATGGGGAGTGCTGGTATCTCCTCGGGAAGCGCTGGTACCCCCATGAGGAGTGCTGGTATCCCCTCGGGAAGTGTTGGTATCCCCACGGGGCAGTGTGGGACCCACGGGCACAGAGCAGTGGGTGTGGACCCACAGGCAGCATCCAGGGGCATCTGGGGACCTCATCCGAGTCTGGGCAGATGTAACGGGCAAAGTCTCTCCCTGGCCACAAGACAGGGTGGCTGCACTTGAGCTCCACCCTGGGGGGCTCAGGGGTGCCCCCCGCACCCTGCAACACTCCCAGCTCTGCCCACTGTGCACAAGAGCCCTGCGGGACCCCCCTCCGCCCACCCCCGCGGTACCCGGGCTCCTCTCCCCGCAGGCTCCCAGGACGATGGGAAGGTGATCCACATCAGCAGGGTGCAGCACCAGGCGCTGCGTGTGGGGCTGGGGGAGCCCGTGGCCCTGCCCTGCCTCTTCCTGCTCCACCCCTCCGCCTCCCTGGGGCCCAACGAGCCCCCCGACCCGCCCCGCGTCAAATGGAGCAAGGTGCGCTCGGCCACCGGCCAGAGGGAGGACTCGCCCATCCTGGTGGCCAAGGACAACGCGGTGAAGGTGGTGAGAGCCTACGAGGGCCGCGTGTCCCTGCCCGGCTACCCCCGTGACCGCTCCAACGCCACGCTGGAGCTGCGCGGGGCCCGCGCCAGCGACTCGGGGCTCTACCGGTGCGAGGTGGTGGCCGGCATCGAGGACGAGCAGGACCTGCTGCCCCTGGAGGTGACGGGTGAGCCGGGCCCCGGCACGGCCGGGAGGGCAGGGGGGGCACGGCGGGGTGGTGTGGGTGCTGTGTGGGGTGTGCACCCCATGGGTCTGAGATGAGGGGGGTGAGCTGTGAGTGCACCCCACGTGAGCTGTGAGTGCACCCCATGTGAGCTGTGAGTGCACCCCGTGTGAGCTGTGTGCCCTGGGAGAGCCGTGCACCCCGATGTACCCCATGCACCCCAATGTACCCCATGTACTCCAGTGTACCCCATGCACCCCATGAGAGCTGTGCACCCCAATGTACCCCATGCACCTCAATGTACCCCATGCACCCCATGTACTCCCTGCACCCCATGAGAGCCGTGCACCCCATGAGATCTGTGCACCCTAATATACCCCATACACCCCAATGTACCCCGTGCACCTCAATGTACTCCCTGCACCCCATAAGAGCTGTGCACCCCAATGTACCCCATGCACCCCATGAGAGCTGTGCACCCCAATGTACCCCATGCACCCCATGAGAGCCGTGCACCCCATGAGAGCTGTGCACCCCAATAAACCCCATACACCCCATGAGAGCCGTGCACCCCAATGTACCCCATGCACCCCATGAGAGCCGTGCACCCCGTGTACTCCCTGCACCCCACGTGCCCCAAAAAAGCCCTGCACCCCGTGTGATCCCCGTGCCCCGCAGACCCCGCAGACCCCCCACCAGCCCTGCCCCCCGTGCCACGTCCCCCCTCCTCTGCCGACGCCTCGGTTCCCTACACTGCTCTGCCCTCCCAGGCGTCGTGTTCCACTACCGCCCCGCGGGCCAGCGCTACGCCCTCACCTTCCCCGCCGCCCGCCGCGCCTGCCGGGACAACTCGGCCGCCATCGCCTCCCCCCGGCACCTCCAGGCCGCCTTCGAGGACGGCTACGACAACTGCGACGCGGGCTGGCTGGGCGACCAGAGCGTGCGGTGAGTGCGGGCACGGAGGGAGGGAGGGAGGGAGGGCGGCCGGGACCCTCCCTCAGCGGAGCTGAGCGCTCACACCGCCCCTCTCTGGCAGGTATCCCACCACGCAGCCCCTTTCCACAGGTATCTGTCCCATCACACTGTCCGTCTCCACAGGTATCCGTCCCATCACACTGTCCCTCTCCACAGGTATCCCATCACACTGTCCCGGCCCGGTTGCTATGGAGACCGCAACAGCCTGCCCGGAGTCCGGAGCTACGGGCGGAGGGAGCCCGAGGAACAGTACGACGTGTACTGCTACGCCCGGGAGCTGAGAGGCAAGGGATGGGGGTGGGCATGGGGGCCCAGGGGTGTCCCACCACGGCCACGGCACGGCCAGGAGCAGGGCTGGATGCCCAGGGGTGTCCCTCCATGGCCAGGAGCACGGGTGGGTGCCCAGGGATGTCCCTTAGTGGCCATGGCATGGCTGGGAGCACAGTTGGATGCCCAGAGGTGTCCCTCTATGACCAGGAGCATGGGTTGGTGCCCAGGGGTGTCCTTCCATGGCCAGGAGCAGGGTTGCATGCCCAGGGATGTCCCTCCATGGCTATGGCATGGCCAGGAGCAGGGCTGGATGCCCAGGGATGTCCCTCCATGGCCATGGCATGGCTGGGAGCACAGGCATCTCCATCCATGGCTCTCCTGCTGGGGTTTGGCTGCAGGGCCGGGTACCAGGGCGGTGCCAGCACTCCGTGCCATCCTTGGCACAGCGTGGCCACGGCGCCCAAGTGACGGAGCCGTCGCTGTGCTCAAGGCCATGGGGACATCACGGCTTCCTGTCCCCGTGTCCCCAAGGTCTGTCTCTCTCTCCCCTGCAGGGACAGTGTTCTACGCCACGGTGCCCGGGAGGTTCACCTGGCAGGGGGCCCGGCGGCACTGCCGGAGCCGGGGGGCCTCGCTGGCCACCACAGGGCAGCTGTACCTGGCGTGGCGGGAGGGGCTGGACCAGTGTGACCCGGGCTGGTTGGCCGACGGCAGCGTCCGCTACCCCATCAGGGTGCCCCGCAGGAAGTGTGGGGGAGAGGCCCCGGGGGTCAGGACCCTCTACCAGTTCCCCAACCGCACCGGGTTCCCCCCCGCCGCCTCCAGGTTCGACGCCTACTGCTACCAAGGTAAGGGGGACCAGCCACGGTGCCACCCAGCTGCCCCCCTGACCCCCCACCAGCCCCGGGATGCCCTTGGGAATCAGTGGGTGTGGCCAGGAAAATTGCCGAGGATGACTATTTATTTAATTGGGGAATTAACGGGATGGATGAGAGCGGCGCTGGGAGGGAGCCCAGCCCCGGGTGTCACCCTGGCTGAGGGGGTGCAGTGCCTGGCACGGACACTCGAGGGGGGCTGTGGGACCCCACCCATGACCTGGGTGCCCGTCCTGCCCCTCTGATGCTCGTGGTGTCCCTGCAGCCGCGGGGCAGAGGGATGTGGAGGAGCCGGTGCCGCTGGTGCCCGACCCGCCGGGCAGTGACAACGTGCTGGTGGAGCACAGCGAGGAACTGGGCACCTCGGGGGACACCAGGGACACCCCCCATGATCACTACGAGCTCCTGCCACAGCCAGAGCCTGTGGGGCCTGGCCAGGAGGAGGAGGAGGAGGAGGAGGAGGAGGAGGATGAGCAGCTGAGGCCGGCGAGCAGCAGCCCCGCGGCCACGGCACAGCGCGGGGACCTCCCGGGGGCCGCCCCGGCACCGACAGCTCCCGGGCTGGGGATGGATGGTGGGACACCCCTGCCACCCCCCACAGCCCCCTCGCTGGCTTGGCCCCATGAGGAGGAGGCTCTGAACGTGGTGGATCAAGCCCTGGAGAGCTCCTGGCAGGATCCAGCCGGTGCCAGCCCAGCGCTGCCGGTGCAAGAAGACCCTGAGGAGCCCCTGGTCACCCTCCTGCCACATTCCCAAAGCCCAGCCCGGGAGCACAGCACTGGATCATCACTGGCACCACCCGGGCTGGGGACAGTCCCCAGCATGGCAGCAGAGACCCCCAGCCTGCCCCCCACCAGCTCCCAACCCCTGAGGAAGAGCCACGCCGGGCTGAACGGGCGCTACTTCCAGCTCCAGAGGCAGAGCCGGGACCCCACGGTGGCAGCTGGGGACCCCACAGTGGCTGGAGACCCCACGGTGGCAGCTGGGGACCCAGTGGGGACAGCCACCCAGGCCCCCGTCCTGGCCCTGGAGGTGAAGGAAGCCGAGGCCAACACGGTGGAGCCGTGGAACATCCCCCGAGCCGGCACCGAGA